TGAGAGGATTCAAAGTTACTTACAATGTGTCTTATTCTTGCTTAAAATATTCGCCAACTAAATTTGAAATCTATGATATAAGGTATTACAAAAAGATTCGCGGCTATTTTCCTTCGATATATCTTTGTAACTACTTGAGCAAATGCAACAAATAAATAGTCATTTTAAAGGGTGGGTGTGGGTGTGAGTGACTTCTCTCCATTGACATGCACCCATACTCACAGCCTCAGATGTGTTTGGAATTCTTGTTATGATGTTATATGTTACTGTTCTTTTATTGTTTGATAAGCGAGTTGTAAAATTTTTCCTATTCTTCATGTAAGTAGTTTTTATTCTCTGCGTCTTAGTCTTATAAAGTAATAAAAGCAAAAATAGTAAGATATTGGAAAGCTTAAGCAAATATTTGAGGTGAATATGCGTTTGTCAATTTGGAAAAAACTTTTGTTTTTGATGACGTTAATGATGTAGATTACAGCGTGAAGCATGATAAGTTGTGGACAATACTTGCTCGTTCTCGACGTCAAATTTTTTTATTTCTCTTGTCTGTAAGACAATATTCACTCTCTTGAGTTTTACGTAAATATACAATTGTTATAGTTATTTAGATGATGAAATATTTGGGTTTTTCAGGCAACTACGATATTTCATCTTGAGAGTGTGAGTCTTGATGTTGGTGGGTGTGCGTAGGTGTGTATGTCCCTTTCATCTGCGCATCCATACTAACATCCAGACCCACACTCACACCCTCAAGAATATAAAATAGTTTTGAAAACAGTTGATCTATCTGAATTACTATTCTATTTGTTTTAAACAAATAAAATAAGACTTGCTTTTTTACATATATTAAATATTACTAAAAAAATAAATATTTATAAATGATAAATATATATTCGAAAGTGGAAGAAAACATCAAGTCAATTAATCTTGAGGGTGTGGGTGTCGATACCGTATTCATCTCACACTCACACGCTTGATGTGATGTTTAAAAGCTGATTTATATGAAAAAGTTAACTGTACAACATCTTGAAAATATTCAGATTCTTAAAAAGCTAATAGATTAATTTGAATATATTTTATTTTATTAACAGATGATTCAAAAAGTATTCTTCTAATTATTAAAAGAATAAGAGCATATGATCTTTCTCATGAAACGTTATTTAATAATATAATTTTTAGAATATCTTTATACGAGTCAACCGCAACTTTTTGGGTACGATTGTAATTTTTGTTCTTGTTGATCAATTTGTTTGTATGTAGAACGAAGTTAAAGATTTATTTTGAGAATTCAAAATATTTTGATCTAACTAAAATAGTATTAGATACTTTTTATAATTATTTTGAAGATTGATTTATTTACGAAGGAGCTTTGTTATATTATCAGCTAATCAAGTTAGAAAATTTGCTCAAGTTGATGGTTGTAATAGTAAATATAAAAGAAGAGATACTGATCTAATTGAAGTAATATATTTCAATCGATTTATTTTAAAGATAAGAACTTTATTTAGAAATCAGTAAATATTAAGTTGTATCGTAGTTTTAATATATGAACTCTTTATTACATTAAAAAAAAGTATTTATTATGTATTACAATTGCGCATATATGAAAAAAAACTTAATTTAAATAAGAATTAATCAGCTGACAAACATTTCTTTTACTGTTTTTTCCTTGTATTTCATCGAAGTGTGCTCAATATTTATCAGTTTGATAGTATTTATTATACTACTTTTTAAATTTTTTTTTCAAAATTCTCTCAGCTGTCAGACTGCTTGCTGAGAAAAAGAATCTTTTTCTAAGTAAAGAGTGCCGATGAACTATGTATTCACTGTTTAGTGATAAATCAAAAGTAAAAACAATCAGACTAGTATGCACGAGTGGGTATGAGTATCAGTATCATATCTATTACTAACCCAAACCCTTAAAATACATGTTTATAATCCAATGTTGTTAGACTATGATATAACTTAATAGTTACTAACTAATTCGTTATATCTAGCTTAGTGTACACAGCCGCTTCCATCTTATTGAGTCGTATGAAATAATATCATTGCTATTCGCATGCGAAAAACAAAAATAGTCAGCCTAGAAACGAATAAAACGGCAAAAAATATGAAGTGAAATTAAATGTTTGTCTTTCATTTGAATGTGTCTCTTGAAAGTTTTCGGCAACAGAATGTTGTTTTCAGTCCTGTCTGTTTACATTGTCCTTCGATTTTATGTTGATTTAGGAAGAAAAGAAAATGTGTAATGTTATTGGATTCTTTCTACCGAGCATGCAAAACAACACAGTAAAAGAAACAAAAGAAAAATAAGTGGAAAATTTCTTTCATGAACGTATGGATTTCAGTGTTATATCCACCATACACCCGAATGCCCACCTACACCTAACCTCATCCACACTCACACCTGCTATGAGAGAAGTCTCTTCACGTTGTGTTTTATTCGAATGAATAACGAAAACAGAAAAGAGAAAGAAAAACGAACAAAGAATGTGAATAATGAAAAACCAGATATGATGTGAAAGAATGTGTGAAGGCATATGAAGATATGACTGTAACACCTACTCTCATCTGCACACCCTTTCTTCATTCTTTTGCTACTTGCAGATGTTTATTGACCGTGACTCATTTTATTTAATAGAAATAAATATATACACAGAATGAGAAAAAGCATTCATTTCTTCGAGAAATTCTTTAAAAAATGACAACATCAAACATCAGAGTAAAATGTTCCATTTGTAATAAAGCAAACGCAGCATGTCTTTGCTCAGGATGTTCGAAAGATTTTTGTTTACAACATTTAACAGACCATCGACAAGTTCTTCGTAACCAATTAGAAGAAACTATCAATGAGTATGATCAGTGTCAACAAAACATTATTCAACAAAAACCAAATCCACGAAATTCTCCTTTAATTCTACAAATAAATCAATGGGAAACAAATTCAATTCTTCAAATTCAAGAAACAGCGCACGAATGTCGAGAAATAGTGATAAAGTTAACACAAAAGTCGACGGATGATAATGAAAAAAGTTTTATTGAGTTATCTAAAAAATTAAAAGAAATTCATGAAGAGAATGAATTTAATGAAATTGATTTAAATCATTTTCAATTAAAATTAACACAAATTATACAAGAATTCATTAAACCATCAAATATTTCTATTCGACAAGATTCACAAGAATTTATCAACAAAATTTCAGTTATTTCATCATCTAGTATGTTTATTCACTTGTTTTATTTCGAGAAAAGAAAAGCAAAGTATTATTCCAAGGTTTTCCTATATAAACTAATTCTCCCATTAAGAATAGCAATGTATTGACAAGGAATTTAATAAACTGAAGATTTAGAACGAAATTTTTCAAATGTTTAACATGAGATTCAGAGAAATCGAGAAATGTATCACAAATAAGTGATTTGAGTGTATTTTGATGATATACTGAGATTCGCCAAACTATCCCTATATGAAATCGAGTCTTTAAGTTATCAAGTACAAAAAAGTTCATTCTTCCATTAAACAGTGCCAAATATTGAAATATCGCTTTAGTATTTCGTATAAGTCGTGGGTGTAGGTGTTGGTGCCAGTATAATAGTAACAGTCACACCCACACCCTCACCAACACGCCCACCCACACCCACGCCCACGCCCACGTCCACGCCCACCCACCCACACCCACCCAGACCCTACTATTCAAGCATTGCTTAATAATACAGTTTCTTCTCCAAAAAATATAACATCATTACCAAATCAACCAATAAATGCTTCGACGTCAAACCAAGCTATACCATCAACACTTTTTGGAAACTCTTCTATACTAGGTCAATCAGCTTCATCTGAACTAGCATCAATAGCTTTAACTCAATTATCGTTAGCTGCTACATCACCTTCTTCAACAATTACAACATCAGTTCAATCAACTTCACCAACAACAAAGTCTGTTGTACCCTCTAGTCCAGGTGCATTCGATTCTAAGCTAGCATTCGGTAGTACTTCACTTAATTTGACATCGACTTCATCCAGTATTCCATTTGGTAGCGCTGCTGCAACAACAACTACAACAACAACAACAGCTGCTTCTAGTCCATTTGGTAGTGCATTTGGCTTTGGTTTTTCAATTACAACAACTTCAGCTTCAAGTCCTGGTCTATTTGGTACTACAACCTCAACAACTTCAAGTCCATTCGGTAGTTTAGCACCTTCAGCTTCAAGTCCATTCGGTGGTGCATCCGCAACCACTACAACTTCAGCTCCTGCGACGGGCATATTTGGTTCGTCAACCACTTCAACCTCGCGTATTTTCGGTGGTGCATCCACAGCTGCCGCAAGTTCAGCTCCTACTACTAGCATATTTGGCGGTGCAACAACATCAGCTGCTAGTCCCTTTGGTACTGCTGGATCAACTACAGCTACCAGTCCATTTGGTGGTACTCCAACAACTTCAAGTTCTAGTGCTGGTGGATTTGGTGCTAGTCCTTCAGTAGCATCTCCATTCGGTTCTGGCTTTGGCACAGCACCATCAACTTCTACTGCTGGTCCATTTGGTAGTTCATTCGGTGCTACATCTTCAGCACCTACTGGTCCAGTATTTGGTGGATTTGGTTCTACTTCAACAACACCAAGATCAAAATCGAGCACTAGGGCACCTGCTAGCGGTATTTTTGGATCAAGTAACACTGCACCACCATCAACTGGTAGTTCAGGATTTGCTGCTGGTCCAAAATTTGGTAGCAGTTTTTCTAGCTTCAATACACAATCAAAATCTACTGGATCATCGACTGGCTTTCAGTTTGGTGGATTTGGTGGTTCTCAATCTTCAAACACAACGGCACCGCAACAAACCTTTGGTTCTTTCGGATCAACATCGGCTGCATCACAACCTTCAACTATATTTGGTGGTTCAGTATTTGGAGGAGCATCTACACAAAAAACTAGTTTTAGTGGTAATTAATTAACTTGTGAAATTATTTTTAGTTCTTTTTTCATTGATTTTTGTAGCAGCAGCCACACCGTTTGGTACTCCGCGAACACAATCAGCAACTTCACCTTCATTTACAAATTATCATAAATAAAACTTTCCACAAAAAAATACACATATATTTTTTTTCTTCACTGCTCTTCTATAATTGAAAAAAACAAATTGTCTCTCACACATTATATTAATTTATCTTTTCTTTTTCCTTTTGTGAAAACATAAAAACATGTGTGTGACTAAAATAAAGAAGAATAAATACGTGTGATACAAAATAAAAAATAGGTATGTAGATAGAAAGTAGTCTGAATTGAGTTCCGATCATCTCACTCATTTAACTTCATGTTGCTGACCACAGACTTTTACAACTTTCTCAATGATAAGAGCATCTCAACGAATGTTGATCTTGTACTCGAATATTACCATTAAGAAAGTAACTTCACCCGGAAGCTTTTTGATCATCTGCCATACGTTAAACACATAGAACCCTGCTAAAGTCTCGATTGACCTTTATCACAGACCTTCCCAAGGATAGATATGTAAGAGTAATATTAAATAGCAGTCGTTCGTAATCCTTGTTAGTTAAACTTCAATCTACATACACGAATTTTATTATTCGATATTTTCAGCTTATATAGGGAACACTTATACAAAGAAAAAGAAGGATGAATAACGATAAAATCTTCGGTAACAAGTAACATCTTTGAGCTAAATGTCGCTAGAAATGAATGAATACATATGTATATTTATATATGAAAGACTTTTTTTAACCATATTCTATGTGATGTAATCATATTTTGACAGATAGTAACACTGCCTTAGCAAATAAAGAATATTTTTTTTTATTCTGGTAAGTATAAAATATATCAAATATCATGTTGTAATCAACACTTTAAATCTTTTTTTCCAATAATATGATGTATAGTTTTTTCAAACACGAAGAAAGTGAATTTAATCTTTAAATGTATGACAAACTAAAATTATTTACTAGATGATATTTATAAAGCTAGCATCAAGCATGATTAGTTAGTTCAACATATTCAGTCCATTGATAATTAAAAAGAACTGTTGAAGTTATTCTATATAAACAAAGACTTATCAAGAATTTTCATCTAACTCGATGTAGAAAATACTTCCTAATAAAAAATATTCAAATCTGATTTCATTCAAATTAGGGTGGTGTGATGAGGATGTATCTTTTCTTCACTTATATCCACACCCACCCTTAAGACAGTATCACATTACCTTGTTACTTAGATTCATTTCAAATACATTGAACAAAAAAAAACATTTTTTTAAATACACGTATATGAAATAATTAGAAAACACCGATGTTTGTCAGAGATATTTTTGAGTGCCAAAAAGAATAGTTTCCATTAGAATAAAAGATTTACATAAGAAGAATCTTTTTAGATAATTAAAAATCTTTCGTAATGTAACCTTTTTAAGCCATCGAACTATTTTTGACCATGCTTTTCATACATTAACTCATCTATTCAATGAAACTATAGTGACAAACGGTAAGAAGGAATGAATAATAGGTAGCTTTGCTTCTCTTTTTCAATTCATTTCTTTACATACTCTCTCTTCTTTCTGATAAGTGACTATACATACAAGGACGAAAATAGAATGGCAAGAATAATAAACCTGCATTAACGTTTGTTTACATCGTTGTCAATGCACTTTTTCTTTATCAATGTTTCTTTCTCTTTATATTTGTATTTTAAACGACTAACTATAGGTCATCAATATAGCTTCTTTTTGTGGAACGATTAGAAATCAGAAGAAGGCACATGACTAATCTTAATAATGACGTTTTATTTTTAGATTTAAACAAAAAGAAATTATTTGTCTTATATAGAACACTTGTATACAATACGTAATTCTTTCAACATACTTTTAACAGCGTTTTTCTTCATAGATTTTCATGCCATATAACTTGCGATGAACATAAGTCTAGTGATGCATACATGAATACTGTTGCAAGATTATTACCATATTTATTCAGCTTCTCCTTTTTTATCAATTAAAATCAATCATACAAAAGATTTGCATGAGTTCTGTTTTAAAATATAATTCATCTAGAAATGTTATTTGACAGCCATAGAAATTCGATAGTTTACAGAAGTTAGTGTAACTCTTTTAGGTATCGTTTTCAATCACTTTTGATGATCTCTATTGCTATATACATACACTGTTTATCACAACAAAATCAACCATATTGCATTGAATTATAAAAAAAACAATAAACGGCACATAACCTGACAAAGAAATCACTACACAAATTATTTATTTTAATGCGAGAACAAACTTTCACCTGACTATCTGCCAGAGAAGCTTTGTTTTACTTTCTGTAATATATCACTTGATAATTCATTCAATGTGCCTCTTTCTCATATAAAGTATATAGCTCTTCAATACCTTCTTTTTTACAAGAAAATTAATTTTTTCAATTGCTGTCAACATTTGAAATACCCGTTTTCACCTTCATGAATACAAAATAATTTCGTTTTTGTTCAGCAATAGTATTCAATGCTCAAATTATGAAAAATTTCCTTAATATTTTTGTGTTTTTTAAAAACTATTTTCGATAAAACTCTTCAATCTTACTTTCACCGATGTTGAGTCTACAGTTTTTTCTCATTCATTAGTATAATCTTTAAAGAATGCTCTATGTATAAAATATCACAAAGCTTCTTTTATTGATTTTTTCATTATAAATTTCATATACTCATCAAACATTAATATAATGCCTAACAGAAAGTGTGAAAGAAAAAATAATTCACCGAAAGAATTGTGTTTCTCTTTCTACCTATATTTGACGAAATAAATGTCGTCTACACATGGGCAAACTGCAGTAATGGTGTAAACAGAAGCAAGAATAAGTTGGGAAGAATAACAATACAATGAATTCGATTGTTGGCGTCTGTTTTGTTCGTTCTTTCCATAATATTATCAACAAATTTGCCTGTTTTGATCTGTTATTTGCTCTGCACAATAGTATTTTCAAAAGTAACTAGGTAGAGTTTGTCCTTGAGCGACAACAACAAAATACAAACATTTGAAGTCGCCGAGAAATCGAGGAAAAACAAGTCACTGTCTATATAAAGAAGGACGGTGATCTTTCTTTTCATTCAAACAACAATTTCTACTGACAAGTTCACATTCTGCAACAAATTACAACAAGATCAAAATGAGCGGATCAAAATCGAATCAAAATACTGCTGCATCATCCAATATTCGCCAACAACGACAACGTATGGCTCCGGATCATCTTCTCATCTGGGTAGATCCCAACATCGACGCAGGAAAAAAGGAATGCCAAGACACACTCACTCAATTGAAAAACGTGATCAGCAATATCAATATATGCACTGAACCAGATCAGTGCATCCAAGTACTCAGCAACTTTGACAAGGAACGTGTCTTCGTGATAATATCAGGCTCCTTAGGTCAACATCTGGTTCCTGCAATTCATGGCATACCACAGTTACATGCAATTTACATCTTCTGTGGTGACAAATCCAGACATCAAGGATGGACTCAAAAGTGGGCAAAAATCAAAGGTGTCCACACAAACATCAAAGAAATTTGCCAGATATTACAAATGGCGGTTAAACAACACAACCAGAACACAATTCCCATAAGTTTTCTCGCGGTAAATGAAATGGTTTCAACTGACACTTTAAAGCAGTTGGAGCCAACTTTTATGTATACCCAACTATTCAAGGAAGTTCTCCTTGATATTAAATACAGTGATAAGGCAATCAAGGACTTTGCAACTTGTTGCCGTCAAGTTTACTTGAACGACAAAGCTCAATTACTACTGATTGATGAATTCGAACGTGACTATAATTCACAACAAGCGATATGGTGGTATACACGTGAGTGTTTTACCTACAAAATGCTCAATCAAGCACTTCGATTTATGGAAGCCGATATAATCATTAACATGGGTTTCTTCCTTCGTGATGTACATCAACAAATTAAACAGCTACATAAACAACAGGTCAGTAGTTATGGACGTAAACCTTTTGTAGTTTATCGAGGACAAGGTCTTATGAAGTCAGACTTTGAAAAACTTCAGAACGCAAAAGGTGGGCTAATGTCTTTTAACAATTTCTTGTCCACCAGTACAGCTAAAGAAGTGTCCCTCGGTTTTGCTCGAGATGCTTCAACAGAACTAAATACGGTTGGTATTTTCTTTATAATGTCCATTGATCCTTGCTTGAAATCAACACCATTCGCTTCCATCAAAGAGGTGAGTTATACCAAGGGAGGAAATGAAATTCTCTTCTCAATGCACACCGTCTTTCGGGTGAGTGAAATTAAACAAGTGGACAATAGGAATCAACTTTATCAAGTTGAATTACAATTGACATCAGATGATGATCAACAATTACGATTACTTAATAATCGGATACGAAAAGAAACTAGTGGTACTACTGGATGGAAAAGATTAGGTAAATTATTGCTAAATATTGGTCAATATAATAAAGCTGAAGAACTTTATAACGTATTACTCGAACAGACACCTAATGAGGTTGAAAAAGAGCATTATTATAATCAGCTTGGAAGTGTCCATTGGAGTCAAGGTGATTATGTAAAAGCTATTTGGTATTTCAAACATGTACTTCAAATTCAACAAAAAACTCTTCCTTCAAATCATCCTGATTTGGCTTTTTCATTCAACAACATCGGTTGTGTGTCTGACGGCATGGAAGAGCACTCGAAAGCACTTTCATTTTATGAAAAAGCACTTGAAATTAAACAAAAAACTCTTCCTTCCAATCATCCTTCATTGGCTACTTCATACAGCAACATCGCTCACGCGTATGAAAAGATGGAAGAGTATTCGAAAGCACTTTCATACTACGAAAAAGCACTTGAAATCGATAAAAAAACTCTTCCTTTGAACCATCCTCATTTGGCTACATCATACAACACCATCGGTTGTGTGTATAACTACGTGGGAGAGTACTCGAAAGCACTTTCATATTACGAAAAAGCACTTGTAATTAAACAAAAAACTCTTCCTTCAAATTATCCTGATTTGGCCACATCATACAGCAACATCGGTAGTGTGTATGACAGCATGGG